ATTTTGCTCAGGGCTTTAATAATTTAGAAACAGATTTTAAAAAATAAAACAAAGCAACTAACAACAGCCTCACTGCCTTTTAGGGTACTGTCATAGGGCTTGCCTCCAAGGCTTCACAGTCCTTTCAGTTTTCCATGCAGGACTTCCAAACCATCCCAAGTGGAGACTTCCAGCTCCTCCCAGCCAGCTCCTGCTTCTTAAAAGGTGTCCTCCTCTCAGACCTTCTACTGGCAGGTGTAGAGCCCCCATTACCTTGTCCTTTTTTGACCTTCAATCTCTCCTAAGAGACAGGAAGCCTTGTGTGTATCTGTAAGGCACATGTCTAGGAAAAGATGGGTGAGGTCATATCTTTTATTGGACCAACTTCTGTTGGTGAGACAGACAAGTTTTCGAGCTACACAAAGCTCTTCCGAGGATGTGAAGAACTCTGTGTAAACCAAAAAACTTGTCTGTCTCACCAACAGAAGTTGGTCCAATAAAAGATATTACCTCACCCACCTTGTGTCTCAACTGTCCTGGGACTAATACAGCTACAACCACACTGCACAGGTGATTAGGAAAGGTTATGTGACCTGCAACTGTAGCTCCCAGTTTTAAAGGGTCCAAGAGGCTCACTGGAATCCAGGCACATGTGAACCACAACCTAGTGCCCTGCTGTTTCTGATATGGAAGTCAGAAGGCAAGATTAATTTTGTAGAATAACACACTTGGTTATGTAACAATGTGCAGAGGAGAAAGGGAGGTACCTATTCTCAAGATGCTGCTAAGGCAACAAATGCCAATTAAATGATTCAGTCCTCGAGATTTCTTTTTTACTCAGCAAAGTAATGTAGCAACATATCAGACAGTATTAAATGAGTGAATACTTTTATCTTAATTGCCCTGAATCAACTGAAAGGATAATTCACTTTCTCGTTTACATGCTGCTATTTATAAACTGTAAAAGATTAAAGGAAGCTCTGAGGAAAATTTTAGACTCCCAGATTAATTCTGGGAATTCTGCCTCCAGAACCTTATTGTTCCTCTAATTATTTTAGAAGACAATTGTGACCTAACACTTCCATTTACTTTCATCTGAAAAAATCTGATTTTTTATATGAAGATGGGAGCTAAAATACCCATAATTGAAGAACACAAGAAACACAAATCTGGCTACTAAGTATTTTCAGAAGATTCAGAGGGAGGGCCTAGAACTCCGCACTAAAATAAGAGGTGTACAAAAGACAGAGTTGCATCTGAAAATGTTACACACTGTAGTCTTGCTTCTCAGAAAGTAAATGTTTTCCACTGAAGGCAGCTATTTTAAACAGGCGCAGCTACATTTAAAAGACATTGCGTTCCCACCCACCCCATAATTTAGCAGTCATTAGCTTTAGGTTACTGCTTTGTTGATAAGTACATGGATTACTGCAGTGCATTTATTTAGATTTCAATGCACTTTAAAGTGCATTCATTTACAATGATTTGCTTCAGCTACCAACCCTAGCAGTCATCATATCATATGGAATTCCACTCAGCTAGTCTGTCTTCCCTTACTACTTGCCACTGTGGCCATACACAGATTTGGAAAGCAGAAAACGTATATGTTAAAGTGAAGAAAACTGTCTTGTTTGTGATTCCTGTATAGATCAGCAGGTTAAGTGTTGTTTCTTTAAAAGGACATAATTTTGTAATAAACAGTTTAAAATTAAAGTAATTTTCCATACATTTTACTTTTCCACTTGACAAATTTCCATTTCCTCTCCCCCTTGTGGTTCAATGGAACTGATATTAACATACCTTTTTCCTTTTAATCGTGTACCAGTATTGAAAATATCAGCAGGGTTTGGGAATTTTTTTGTTAGTAAATCTTTGTTCCCCTCTATTGGCTAGTTCTGCAGCAAGGCCTCATTAGCTATTCTTCACCATAAAAGAATACTGCAATCTTTTAAAAAAGCATTTTGATAAGGCTTTCTCTGAGACTAACAATATTAAGGAAGGTCTAACCTGAGATCTAAGATACTTGCCTGTATCCCTTGAAAATAGCCTCATCTTGAATAACACTGAGTGAAAGGTGCAAAAAATGTGAAGTGTCATTTAATGTTTCACAAAGACTTTATCATAGCTAGGAGAGAGTCAATTTAGTAGCTATGTTACTCCTGGGGGAATTCTTCACCAAAAAATTAAAAATTCTGCACACAATATTTTCAGATTCTGCAAAATTCTGCATATTTTATTTGTCAAACTAACACAATATAATCACACCAGTTTCAATTATTTTGGTCATTTATTTCAAAATACCTGTCAGCAAGTATGTCTGTAACAATACAGACAACAAAAAAGATTCAGGAAATGTTTTTTGCAAAGATTCCTTTTTTTGACAAAGATTCCTTACTGGGCACAGAACTCTGAGTAATAATTCATTTAAACTACAATACAGAACCATATTTCCTGCACCCCTCAGCAGCAGTGCAAAGGCTTGGGGGAGTCAGGAGTAATGGAGGAGATGAGGGAGAGGGAAGTAATTGCTGGGAAGGAGTCTAGATTTGAACTTGGAGGGTCGTTGGGTATGAGTGGGAAAAGTATGGAACAGTTTTTTTGGGGGGAGCAGGGAGGGATTGTTATGGAGCTTCCTCCATGCAGACCCTGGCTGACCCCTAGCCTCTCCCATTCAGTCATGCACATCTGCCCTTGTCCCCGTGTGTTCCTGCCACTCCTGTCTACGTGTCCCTCCACCCCCACTCAGACATCGACTCCCTCATCCCCCTGTGGCCATCCCCATGTGTCTTTGTTCCTCCATTCAACCACCCCCGCATCCCTATGTGGCCCTGCACCCCCTCCCCCATCATCATGTGGCCCTGCACCTCCCTCCCTCCTGCCTGGTGGCCCCGTGCCTCCACTCCCATTCAGCCCCTGCCCCAGTCTGTCCTCCCCCACTAGCCTTTATGAATCTGTCTGACCCCCCAGCAGTCCCATGCTGTCTCCCCACCTGGCCCGACAGGCGCTGTGAAGAAGGCAAGCTCTCTCTCTTCCACAGCTGGCTGGGAGCTGCTGCTGTTTTACTGCCACAGCACCCTTTGGTAGGCAAAAGGCAGAACCACAGCAACTTTCCAGCAGCAGCTTTTTTCTTCAAAAAAAATTTAAAATATGCACAGCTCATTAATTATGCACACGCAGTGGCACAGAATTCCCCCAGGAATAATACTAGGTGTAAAATGAGCTGCAGCTACTCAAGTAGCACTGTAGTATTTAGAGAAACACTCTGTACTCTGTTTAACAAATGAGTATCAATATAATTAGGATGTTTTTCCAAAATCTATTTTTGACCCATAAGTCCATAGACTTTAAGGCCAGAATAGACCACCATAATCATCTAGTCTGACCTTGTGTGACCTCAGCCACCCACTCCTGTGACAGACCCCTAATCTCTGGCTTAGTTACTGAAGTCCTCAAAGATTTTAAATTACAAAGAATCCACCATTTACACTAGTTTAATCTGAAAGTGACCCAGACCCCATGCTGCAGAGGAAGGCAAAAAATTGATAGCTATTGATAGCTAGTTTATATCTCATTGTTCTTGTGTCAACACTGGCACTTAACTTGACAAGTTTCTACGGATTCATATTGATCAACATTCACATGTGAATGTTACTGCTAGAAACTGAACACTCAAATGACTGACTACAAAAATATAATTTAGACTCGGTAACAGGTACCAGCTTAAGATAACAGAGTGACTGTTCATTCTAGTCCTTAGTGGTGTTGTAGCTGTGTTCGTCCCAGGATATTAAGACATACAAGGTGAGTGAGGTAATATCTTTTATTGGACCAACTTCTGTTGGTCCAATAGAAGATAACCTCACCCACCTTGTCTCTGTTCTTTCTAGAAATACAAACTAAAGAGAATCTAGTGGTTTGCCTGCACCATAGAAAAACCTATGTTCTCTCCTTAGAAATAATAAGAAAAGGGAAAGGCTGGGAAGATCCTTATAGTGGCGCTGAAACGGGGGGGTGGAGGAGACCTGGGGGCTGTAGCCCTCCCACTTTTTAAAAGTGGACAGGTCTGGCCTGTTCACTTGTCCCCCATGGCAGACCCTGCCTGCTTCCCTTGCCCCTCCCCCTCCCCCGAGGCCTCACCCCCTGACCAGGCCAGCAGCTGATGGAGCCTGGCTGGGAAGCCCGGGCAGTTGTGGGAGCCACATGGACCCTCTATCTCCTTGCGGTGCAAGGGGACTGAAAGCAACCCCTGGCCCATGTCCCTGTCCTCAGGGCTCCCCGCCTGGTCCAGGGCAGGTGTAGATGGAGGGTCTGCAACTCCACACTGGCTCCCCTCAGCCACCTGTGCAGCTCTTACAGCCAGGCTGCGGCTCCAAGGCCCTGTGCTGCAGCCAGAGCCGGGTCAGGGAGAACCACACAGGCACCTGTGGGGAGCCTGGGTCCCTCCACCTGCCCTGGGGCAGGGGTCTTGGAGGGCTGGGACACGAGCAGTGGACTGCTTTTGGCCCCACCCCGGGCAGTGGAGGCTTCCTGGTCCCACTGTGGTCTCTGGGAGAAGAGGAGGGGCGGGGTGAGGCCTCAGGTGGGGGCAGGGCCTCCAGGGCACCTGGCCCTTTGTCCCCTCATTTTTGGGAAGGCTCTGATGGATCATTACTAACTGAAGGAGATGCAGCTGGCAGCTACCAGGTGCAAAATGGTTACTTTAGGACTTCAGCTGTTTGACTCTGCTAAATTTAAGGAGTCTGGCTCAGAAAGGCATATCTGGGATAAAAAGAGAATACTATATAAAGCGAACTCCGTACTAAGAAGAGTTCCCATGGAACATGAGTCACCACGCAAGGTGATCCTAAAAAAGGAACTGCTTTGCTTCCATGCTTATCCCCACTATATCACGTCTATAAAATGAAGAACCAGAACCACTGATCAAAATACTGTCCACAACCATCTTCAAAATGAATAACCGTTCTTAAATTAAAAGGAAAATAAGGTCAAGACACCTTAAATAAATCCTGTTACAAATGTACTTAATTTCCAGTTCAATATCAGAATATCAATTTATTAAAAGGTTAGATGAACTATACATATGTAAACTGTAATATCGTTGAAAAATCTGAAATATATTTAGTTCTAAAAGAAAATCATTCTTTCAGAAAGTATTTAAAATATTGCATTTCTGGGCAGCAAATCTAACTAAGTGCTCTGGAAATGGTGCATTCTCTCTGTGCGTTCATCGAGCATTAGTCTCCAAAGCATAAAGAACTCAAATGTTGACAACGTCGCTTCTTGCTGATGTGTAGACACACAAAAGTCTGTGAGCTCCAAAACAGCAGCACAGTTTTAACAGGGAAAAGCTATGGTCCTGGTTGATGAAGACAATATGCCTCCTGGGAGTCCATGACACCTTGAAAATATGCTAGCCACACTGCATACAACAAAGTCAGTTGTATGTGGTGAGTTAGAGAATAAGTCTTTGATTGATAATTTTTCTGTTTATTTCCGCCAAGGCCACTGAAAACACGAAAGCCTTTTCATCTGAAAGGTTAGCATACATGTCAACTTCTTTTTCTTGTTTCTCTGTAGAAGAAGAAGAAGAAAAGTCACTATGAAACAAAAGCTTTTCTCCAGCTCCTGTATCAGAAGTTTGTATATAAATTACACAGATACTAAATTACTGTTATATGGGACAACATATTAGTATTGAAAAGTGGTATTAAAGATAAGCAGCTCCCGTCAGGGAAAAGAAGTCACTGAATCAACAGTCTGAAAATATATGACACAAATGCCTATTCTTCAGTGACAAGAAAAGATGACTCAGCCTAACATCATATGAATGATTCCTAACACACACATGAGAGAGTAGTTAATGCTGCCTAATGCTTCTTCCTCCAGGTGAAAGACAACTCTCTACACGTTACATTTAAATAGCACCTTTCTGAGAGGACATAAATGATGTATTACAAAATGAAGGTTTCAACACCTGTAAGAAGTAGGGTAGTCCTTTCCCTATAGTATAGGTAGGAGAGTGAGATTCTGAAAGGTTAAGTAAATTGTCCAAGATCACTGAGCAGATTAGTGGCAGAGCCAAGAGAAGAACCCAGAACTCATGACTCAAAGCCCCATCAGGGGTTTCAGACTTCTAGTACTTCAGGAACACTAGCCTTTTCCTGACATGGGACATGTTAATACCCCAGGGAGCCTGCTCCATCCAGACAAGCCAACTGAGAGTGGAGGGGGCTGCAGGTGGGTCACGTAAGTGCAAGAGTGAGCCATCAAGGAGCTCACCTGCTGCAGCACTCCAACCTTGCAAGGCTCTCCTGTGGCACACATAAGGTCCATAAAAGGAAGCTTTGTCACAGCCACCTCTTTTAATTCAGCACTCCACCCACCCAGTCTATCCCCTGAGCTCCTCCCTGATAACTGCCCAGCATTACAGAAGCTCTTTCGTCAGCTTCTTTTTGTCAACTAGCCAGCAAGGGCTAAGTGAGGCTGAGCAGGGGCTAACATGCATTGCAGGAAGGAGAGCATACTTGGGTAGTCTAGCACTCCATGAGGGAATCTGCACAGATCCCCTATCTTCACCCCCTCAAAGCACTCCCTCACCTGGGTCTTTCCAGAGGACTGGGAATGGGGCTCACAGCTAAGGGAGATCACCACCGCATGGGCTTAAAGTTTGGCTTATTTTAACCTATCAGTGTCCCTGTAAGTATATAATGGTGTCCAGACACACTCAGTATTTAGATTTCAGTCTGGGACCATTTGCTGATTTATGGTCTTTTCTCCCCACTCAATGGCTCAACATTAAAGTCTGTTGAAAGCTATTTAGCAACCTCAAAGCACCTACACAACTATGATTCCCACGTTTCACTACACAGCAGCTTGCTTAGTGAGGTACTTGGAATATCAAAAGCCAGCACAGATGTTCTAATGCAAAGCTATAAGAAGGTTGTTTTAGTTAAGTACTAGCATTCAAAACACATTCAATCTTGGGAATACAAGTCACTGTAGCTGGATCCCTGGTGAGGTGAGATGCAGTACCATCTGCTGCATTCAGCTTGAAGTCAGGAACTAAAAACCAGAGTGAAGTGAGCTGTAGCTCACGAAAGCTCATGCTCAAATAAATTTGTTAGTCTCTAAGGTGCCACAAATACTCCTTTTCTTTTTGCAAATACAGACTAACTGGCTGCTACTCTGAAACCTAACAAATTTATTTGAGCATAAGCTTTCACTTCCGATGAAGTGAGCTGTAGCTCACGAAAGCTTATGCTCAAATAAATCTGTTCGTCTCTAAGGTGCCACAAGTACTCCTTTTCTTTTTGTTCCAGAAGAAAGCATTGTAAGTGCTAATTATTCTGTATGAAATACTTCTAGCTTGCAGTCATCTTTTTTCCTGTTTCACACTACTCTAACCCAAACAAGCTCAGCCATCCAAAACTGTTAACATCTTCAAAGAAGGGTTTCTGAGTTTCCTCCAACTCCTTTTTGCTAAGCATGGCAGGAGATTCAATGTATTCAAAATAAAATGTATTTGAAGTACTTCCTTTTCACCATGAACATTCACTTGGAATTCAAATGATTGTAAAATTAATTTTACAAAATTACTCTCATTTATTTACAGGCTTCTTAACCAAGTGAACATTTTTTCCAAGATGTTTTCAAATGAATAGCTATTCCAATGGAAATACAATTTTGAAGAACATAGTGAAAAACATTGCCAGATGATTCTACTATGAAGCAGTACCAATCATCAATGTAGAACTTGTAAGTTATAGCCATTCTTACTACAGTTTCATCCTTCTCACCAGCAACTATTGAACATTTTATAGTTGGTTGACCTTTTCCTACCTGCTACGTACAGCCTCTGATTTAGAAAAAACAATCTGATATCCTATTAAAACCTTCCTCATCTGAAGACAGTCTGACTCAGTTCTCTATTATTCACACTTGAGACTTCTCTGCAGGTATGCACAACTATTTTTGTAAGACACCAGAAATGAGAAGAAATCCTTTGCTGCCAAAATGGAAAATTACACACATCAAAATTTCAGCACACCAAAATAAAGAGAACTCTATCCTAGCTAACAGTGATCTTATAGTGAAGGGTCAAAACTGTGTAGGGCCTAGCACACCACCTCAGCAGCAATCAGAAAAGATTTTTTAAATGCTCAAGAAATACATATAAAAGAAACAGCAACACACACTCTTTGCAGGGTCTAGCAATGTGTTCTCCTCAAACACAATAAATGGCCCTGTCATTTCTAGAATCAAAATTCCAGTGAGTTTTGGATAAGGAATTTAAAAAAAAAACAACAAAAAAACTCTAGTGAAATCACTATGAAAAAAGTTCTTTTGTTTTTACAGTGAAGACAAAATATTTAAGTTTCAAAAGACCTAAAAGGTTCTATTGCATAATATGGACTAATATCCACTTTTTTCCCCCACAGATGACATAAGATTTTGAAGTTACAACAGCACAGAAGAACAGCCCCAGCATGGTAAGCTTCCAAGAGTGCTTTTTACACTCCAGTAATGTTAAATGAAAGTTCTGGATGTTCTAAAACATGTAAGGGGAAACTTGCTCTTTCTTCACAAATCCTCATATTTGTACGCCAAGCTTCGGGATGAAGTGTTTATGGCCCAATTGAAATCCTCTAAAAATAAAAGGTAAATGAAACGCCAACAGGCTCTTGGTACCAGCAGTTCCAAGAGGCACAGCCACAAAGCTGCACAGTAAAGGGCTGAGAAGTACTTAGAGATGTGCATATTTGATGTCTTACAGTGTTGTTAAGCGTCGAGACCGGGACAGATCCAACAAGATAAACTGAGGGTGGTTTTTTCAAAGCTGCATAAGTTACTTAGGACCATTAATTTCATTAGAAGACAACAGGACTTGTGCTCCCAAGTGACCACTTTTGAAAACCCCCACCCTCTATTACTATTATTACCAGAAATATAATAGAAGACAGGTCATAAGTTTGTCAAGAAGCTCTTGCTATTTCTGTCCAATTGCTCCTTAGCAATCCTGACTGTATTAATTATTTTCTTTGACAATTAATCAGAGCACCCTAGTTTGTGACTGCAGCGAATAAGGAGTTGGAATGTGTTTTCCTCAAACGCAAGAAAACTATAAAATCGTAACACTAATTCTTTTGGCACCCTCCTTTGGAGCATCCCTATCTTGTCTGAAGTACCATGTGAACCAAGAGCATCTGAAGAGAACTGGTTGTGAGATACTTAACATACACTCTCATTATTAAGGAGAGTGTGAATCTCTGACATAGCCCAGTATCTTACTTCTAGCAGTGACTTACACTGGCTGCTTCAGAGAAAAATGAATCCATGTGGTCAGCTGTGTAAAGGTTCATCATGGAGACAGCAGGAAGAAGGAAATCCTCTCTGACCCCTGCAGACAATCTGCTTAAGCCTAGAAGCCTATGAAGGACCACTGGATCTTATCAGAAGCAGATGTTTGCAACAGTTCTTGCTTCTCTGAAGGAAATGAGTTAGCCTTGCCATAAATAACATTACCCAAGTGTTGGTCTGGATAGGAAAACTAACAAGTCACTACAGCATGAGACATTTTTTCTTCCTTCTCATAGACGTTAAGGTCACAAGGGACTATCACGATCATCTAGTTTGACCTGCTGCACATTGCAGCAGGCCACAGAACCCCACCCACCCACTCCTGTAATAGATCCCAACCCCAATTGAGTTACTGAAGTCCTCAAATCATGATTTAAAGACTTCAAGTTTCAGAGACTCCACTATTTAACTAAGGCTATGTCTACACTGCACATCTGATAACGGCATGGCTGTGCAACTGCAGCCACGCCATTGTAAGGTGAGCAGTGTAGCCACTCTTTGTTGCTCCCAGCGACAAAATAAAACCACCCCAAGAGAGGGGCAGTAGCTTTGAAACCAGGAGAGCATCTCTTGCTGCTGAAGCACTGTCCATACCAAAGCTTTTAGTTGTTAAAGCTTTTGTCGTGCGGGGTCGGTTTTTTTTCACACCTCTGAGTGACAAAAGTTTTAACAATGAAAATGCAGTGTAGACAAAGCCTAAAACAGGTCGCCAGTTGGATTAATGACAGCACGCCATTAAAAAAAAACCCCAAAACCAAAAATAACTTTCCCCAAATAGGTTTTCTAATTCTCATACCTCTTTCTTCCTCACACTTTTTGGCTGAGGCACTCTTAGGTCTTCCTCGTCCCCGTCTGCTATGATCTGAATGGCTGTTAGATCTGGACCTTTTTCTGTTTTCTAAGTCTTTATTTACTGCAGAATTTATCTTCTCTCGCTTAACTCTCTCTGTTCGTCTCCTTTTGGCCTCACTCTTGTTTTCTGTATAAATGAATAAAGAAAATGTTTGCTTTTATGTCTTTGTTGTTATTCAGTCTCAGCACTTTCCCCACCCCACCTCTTCCCTTAGATCTCTTAACAAGAATGATTAGTTGCCTGCACAGTAGTAACCTCTCAAGCAGTTCACAACACTCGACTGCATCTGCACACCATCCGCTGAGCTGAGAGTTGAGCAAGTTGTTCTAGGCAAAGGCACAGACATACCCCATTTTTTTTTCATCACAAAGATCAAGTCTTAATTATGACGACATTTATGTAGCATTTTGCAATAAATAAGGAGCATCTATTAGCAATACAGTGCATAGGAAATGCTTAGTTCTTAAGTCAGTGAAACTAACTGCACAGATCACAATTTTAAAATGTTCCTGATGTATCACTTCTGATGTACTGAAAGTCACTGCTTTCATTCCAGGTGTTCCCAATTACTATTAAGAAATGGATAAAGAGGCAAACACTAAATCTTCATTTTTTGTTTTGTTTTGCCATCACTCCTGAAACCATTCTCATATTATACAATTCAACATAAGACACCAATTCAACTGTACACTCAGTATGTACGACAGCAGCACCTAGAGGCTCCAACTACCATCAGGACCCATTGTGTTAGGGGCTGTACAGACACGGGCTATGGCTACACTTCAGAGCTTACAGCGGCACTTCTAGTGCAGACGCTCTCAGCGGATGGGAGAGAGCTCTCCTGTCAACTTAACTACTCCAGCCTCCGTGAGTGGCGGTAACTATGTTGGCGGGAGAAGCTCTCCCGCCAACATAGCACTGTCCACACCGGTGCTTAGGTCAGTGTAACTTACGTCACTCATGGGGGTGGCTTATTCACACCTCTTAGTGACAGAACTTACACCGACTTAAGCTGTAGTGTGTACACAGCCTTAATCAAGCTGCCTTCACACTTTTCACATGCTAGTTTTGGGAAAAAACTTCCAAATTTTGCACCCGAGAGCTTTTGGTATTTACCTGTTGGATGTCATTCTACTACTTTCCTTTCGTCCCACCTCCCAATTTACTGTAGACTGGACATATGCCACAACTAGATGGCAGGACATAGCTTGTGAATATATTAGACAGGAGAGCCAGATATATTCACTTTCCCACTGTAATTACACAAGAGCCTTGCATAATCATAATAAACCCTTTAACGTATCTAATTGGGTTGGTAACTAGTTTCATTTATCAACCACTAGCTAAACAATGGAAAAAACACCAATCACACCTTCCAAAACAAGTTCCACAGTCATTCCCACACTGCCTCCAGCTTGCAAGAATCAACATGTCTGACATCACCACTTTATATTTTCCTAAAGCTCACAATTGGAACATTTTCTCTTCAGATTAAATTAAAAAAACTCTCTAATCTGATCATGTAAACCTTGTAAGTGAAGAACTTCTACAATTCTAAATCAGATTCTTTGGGGATCTTCCCTGAAGGGGATTTATTCTAATGTCCTATTAGTGGTAGACAAACCATTAATAAAGAACATAAAGGAGAACATGAATCATGCTAGAACGCACATCCAACTGATTCCTTTGCATATACATCAACAGAAAACCTCGAATTTGGGAAAATACATTTTTTTATTTTACTGCATACTTTAAAAATAACATCTTAAGTAGCTTTTAGTTTAAGAGCTTCCAAAATACATTTGTTATACAAAGCATTAAATGACATTCTGCTATTTCAGGACTGAGTTAATAAATTCAATGCAGCTCATTAAAAAAAAATAGGAATTTACTTTTGAATAAAACAACTTCGGTCATCGAGTACTATGAAATCTGGCTTCTCTAGACATTTATCTTCTAAGTAGGATTAACAGAAAGCTTTCCGTAGGGAGTATATTTGCATGGTGAATAAGTAAGCAGCTAACAGATAAACAATTAATAAAATGGCACGTTTCAGAGTAGCAGCCGTGTTAGTCTGTATTCGCAAAAAGAAAAGGAGTACTTGTGGCACCTTAGAGACTAACCAATTTATTTGAGCATAAGCTTTCGTGAGCTACAGCTCACTTCATCAGATGAAGTGAGCTGTAGCTCACGAAAGCTTATGCTCAAATAAACTGGTGAGCTGTAGCTCACGAAAGCTTATGCTCAAATAAATTGGTTAGTCTCTAAGGTGCCACAAGTACTCCTTTTCTTTTTAATGAATAAAATGTCACTACCATCCGTACACAGGAAGGAAGGCTGCAAAAACACCACCTTTTGTCTTTCACAGTTTGTGAAAGATTAACTTATATTCAAAGTCTGCCTTGCCCCAGTGTAAAGGAAAGAAGAACGGACAAAAGTCCAAGTTTATAATACAGGAGGCCACACGCTCTTCATTGTTTTTTTTTTTTTCCAAAGCAGAAATATGAAAGGGAAAGCCCCTCAGTAAGGTTTACCTGCAGTGGGTGGTGATTTCTCAGCACGTTTGGCATGCAAGAGCTTTCGACTAATAAATATGTAGCCACAAGGGCACGATTTGCATGCAACAGGAACCTGAAAGAAAGTGGGGAAAATAAGGTTTTGAAATATCACAAGAGTTCCTCCGTTAAGAAAAAAAATCCCAAATACAAGGCACATGTGACCTCCAAGATATTCTTCACATTTTGTTTATACCCCAAACAGTATTCCGTGTTATTGTGCATTTCATAAAGTTTCATAACAGGGTGGATTTGATTTAAATCACTAGTCAGGAAGACTTGATTTAATAATGGATTTCTACATAAAAGTGCATTCTTGTTGGTAGTTATAACTTTAATACATATTCTTCACAACTCAGAGATAGATGTGGTTTCATTTGTAGAAGGTACACACTATACATTTTTAAACAGTGATTTATTTTGAAAACTTTTCAGATTAGTTTTACAGCAATATCAGAAAATGAATGATTGTTTGCTTATTTCATTTACCAAAGGTAACTGAAGCAGATATTTATGAAGTCATTGGGAGGTGAACTATTCAACAGGTTAATCATTAATATTTGGAGGATTTTCTTGCCATGCTGTATTAGGAGGAGAACATCACCAGACAGACATTTAAATTGTTTCATTTAACTAAAACAACATTATGTATTCTGAATTTTTTTCTTCCACAGCAAACATATAATATTTTAACAAACCAAGCATATGAATGTTTGAATTTAGTTAAACATTCAAGTTTTTTAAAATCAGGTTTGTATTTGTTAAAATTGTTTTTAACTAAAAGAGTTAAATGAAATATTAAAAAAAATTAAATCGACTATGTAAGCCAGGTCAACATGAAAAACGTAAAATATTGGCTTCCGCAGCTAACTCAGTTGTCTTCACCTTCATTTTTCTGTTTGGTCATAATCTGGAAAAGAAAAACGAGCTTTCCTGCTTTTTCAGGTCCCAAATGATTTCTCAATTTGGAATGAATGAATTAGTCCAAAGGAAGAAAATATTCTCTCTTTGTACACTGGCAGAAGACACTACTGCTGTTAAATGTGAGATCATCACTTCAACCGTCTCTGAATCCACTGCTTAAATGACTTCCACCAGTTCACTGGTGTGACTTTTTTTAAAAGATCAGCAGCAAACATATATTTCTTGAATGGTTCTTATTCCCAAACTGGGTCTCTTTTACGGCCTGCTGCCATTATAGGTTTACCCTTCTAGAGAGATTTCAGAGTAACAGCCGTGTTAGTCTGTATTCGCAAAAAGAAAAGGAGTACTTGTGGCACCTTAGAGACTAACCAATTTATTTGAGCATGAGCTTTCGTGAGCTACAGCTCATGCTCAAATAAATTGGTTAGTCTCTAAGGTGCCACAAGTACTCCTTTTCTTCTAGAGAGAGAATGGTATGGTAGATCTCAAATCATATGAAGACTACACTCAGAAAGACCTCAAGACTTCTGGAATATGCTGTTCAAACAGTTTCACTTTTGTTTCTACTGCCTGTCCCTCCCTTCTCACATTTATCTTCTCCTTGTCCAGATCTATTCCGCCCCCAACGATCTTCTATTCATTGAACTTTGAAATTTAGCACTTTTAGAGAGAGGTAGGGGATTGAATCTGTGTACACAAATTTGCAGAGAGACAACAGGGTTGAGGTCTGTTATTTCTCACCTCTATATATTATTTATTTCAAAACATTTTTTCTGTTAACAAGCATGTTATCTCTGGAGACACAAATCCAGTTTGAGAACTGCAAAACTAAGCATCTCTGATGGTATCTTCTAGACTGAGCACTGAGTCCCATTGGGTAGATAGAAAGATTAACCTAAATAATCTATACAGAAGCCCGTGGAGCCCCATAAGATTGGGTCCCTAATCCATGAACTATTGGAACTCATTACAAAACTTTTCTTAAACATTACATGATTATATTGCCTGGTACTATAGTATTAGAATTTATGATCCCTATTCTATGATTAGATACCTTTGCGCTATAATGTATTTTAATTAAAACTATGTTTAGATAGGTTTTTTCCTCAAAAAGTATTTTATCAAAAAATCGGATTTACATAAAAAAATCTGATTTTTTTTTTTTTTTTTAAAAACACTGATTTTTAGCCACGCTGTTTCATAGTAAGTAGAGGAAACCCAGCACTACCCCATCTGGCTGAATACTTGCAATATGGAAGAATTTAGAACGATATGGGAAAATTCTAGAATGCTTACAGCTACAAGGACAGTAGCGTATTCCTTCCTTATTAAAAAAATGTTAACAAAAATTCTTTCCTTCAACAATTAAAAAAGAACAGAAAAAGTTACCAAAGCACATCATCTACATTAAACATGTTGCAAATCATAGCTTTAGGAGTCAATCAGGAGTGCATTGTGCTGCTTTGATTAGATCTGTATCAAGACAAAGTTATGCAAAGGACTAAAAAACACAGAGGAAACTAAAAAGATTTGGAAGAAATTAACGTTCAAATAAAACAGTGTTAACGCAGGATACCACACAAAAGAAAAAAACAAAAACATGAACATGTCAAAAACATCGAGACAAATCTCTTCAGGTTCGCTGCTGCTTCTTAAAACCATCAATAATGAAAGTATTTACTGTTTATACTTTACCCGATGCACAGGAAACCAATTTCAGTGTGCTTCTAACAGAAGAACAAAATGCCATAACCAAACTGCTGGTCCATACAAAGGAGAATTCTCCGCTACACAGGCCACACAAACTGTGTTATTGCTTTCTGCAGCACAGCTACATTTTCTGTGCTTTGCTTCACACGTTTATAAGGACATCACATTTAAGAAAGGTTTCAGAGTAACAGCCGTGTTAGTCTGTATTCGCAAAAAGAAAAGGAGTACTTGTGGCACCTTAGAGACTAAATAAATTGGTTAGTCTCTAAGGTGCCACAAGTACTCCTTTACATTTAAGAAAAGCATTTTTTCATTACCAAACTTGAAGCATGCAGTGCAATTCTACAAACAGTTCACTTAACTAGTAAGCCATGCAGCTCATTCAAAACGTAGTTGGTTATGTTTTTAAATTAAAAAAGTGTGGAACGGAGGAATACCTCAGAATCAATGGCATGCATTATTTTTACATACAACTCACATATTTTTCTGAGTAAACCTGGCAATTATTTAAGTTTTTTATTCTTTGAAAGAAACACAATTCTAGCAGGTACTTTTTCTTTTCTTTGTTTTTTTTTTTAATTTAACCCACCCACACAGTTTTAAAAAGCTGCATTCTTTGTAAAGCTGTCCCAGAAGTTTACAAATAAATTTTCATACAAATTTTAATCCTTTTCTATTGTGCAACATCTGATCTCATCCAGACAACTGTGAGGCAGTTCTATTAAAACTTAAAAGGGAAATTCAGGAAGTCCTTGTTTTGCTTACTTGTTCATGTGCCACATCAAAGGGGAACACATCTCTTGGAATAGCTGCAAATGTTGCAGAACCAGTACAGGGAGCACAAGATTTGATCTTTTTGTAGAGCCTACATAAATAGCTATTTTTAAACAATAACTTTTTTAGTCTAAGCTTGTTAGAGGCCAAGTGGCAGTTGGTTTCCTTTGCTGTACTCTTAGGCATCATCATCCTCATGTAATTTAGACTTAATAACTGATCACTTCTGTTTATACCTCACACTTTGATCAGGAGAAACCTCATATGAAATTTAAAAAAAAATGTACATTCAAAGTATTCAAGAATACCATCCTTCTAGAGACCACTGAGCCAATACTATTTCACCAGCCCAAAAAATAATTCTCAAAACTTGCTTTCACCAAGTCTTTGGTATTAGGATATAGCTGGCTATAATTGTTGTTTTGCACATGTAACCAAATTTTGAGAAGGCGGCATCAGATGGTTATTGAAAATTAGAATTTTTTTCTATTGTATCTAGTGGTTATACTGCCTAAGAGTGGTAAAATGGACAACTTGAAACCTAAACAATTTCAAAGAGTTAAGTAGTTTCAGTTGCTGCTTCTACCACCAGTACCTCTGCCAATTTTTGTAATTTTCCAATCATTTTTACAAAAATATCTCTCACAAATTATTGCATAAAAGACCCACACAAACAAAAGGAAACTGATTACACAAAAGATATACTGACCATACTGAAAATGCTGTCAAATGCATAAAATTTAAAAAATAATTTCTATAATTGTTCAATTATAGTAATCTTAAGTGTCACAATTAAGAGAAATAGGCAAAAAAATTCAGAGCAAGTGTGATTTTTAGATTGATGATTTAACTTTAATGGAAAGACTTTTTGTACACAAGGTTTGGCCCGCCCCAAAATCTGACTAACCTACCAGAGATTGCGTTCGCATTTAATAAGCCGATTGTCTGATAACTGTGCTGCAATATCAAGAACCAAAATAATATATTTATTTTTAGATATAGCTGAATGATTGATATCTGAAGTTAATTAAGGTGGCACAGGATTTCTATTCTACTCTGCTTTTGATCACTCCAATCTCTCTGATATTCACCTTTTCAGACTTAATCTCTGCCTAAAGGACTTTTTTTTTTTTTGGGGGGTGGGGGGAGGAGGCAGGGAGTTGAGCTTAAAGGGAAAATGATACTAGATGATTTTGAATATAAGTACAGGTTGAATTTTTACATAGTTGCTTTTCAGAGAAATGCTGGGCTCCAACATCTTTGAAAGGAAAGTGCTATAAAAGTGCAAAATATGGGTTAAAATTCTGTGAATGCTTACTAATAATACATAGTGAATCTATCCCACAATAATAGTCAGAGTTTGCTGGACCATACCCTACCTACTATTCTATGCCAAATTTTCATTTAATTCATTTGCATAACAAATATTAAAAAATAATCTGTTCTTTGTTTCACCCTATTAACACCATTTGCCTTGGGCTCCCTGATTTACTCAACTATGTGGGTTTGATTTTGTTTTAACACCACATATGGTGAGTGGTTCTAAGCAAGCTCTTACACTTAAGGTGTATGCAGTCAATATACTAAATCGCCTCAAGAGTTTGAATTTAAACTATTTCCATGAAAAGTTCCACACACACATTACTGGCAGCACAGAATTCTGGGCATGTACCTCAACACCCATGTTCTGAGAGTAGTTGAGAACTGGTAGCACAGACTGACTGCCCAAGATGAGAACTTCCTCTATGGAAGGACTGACAGATAGCTATGGGTGACTATTCTGGGGAATATATAACCTAGCCACTTACATATAAAGCTGTGGGTTCCATTGGTGCGAAGGCAAGAATTTAGCTTCTTCTACTGTGTGCACAAGGGTTCCAGAGCATTGAGAAACAATCAGGCCACACTAGCAGCCTTTGGGCTGGGACAGCACATATGCATGTAATTCCAGGCTAGCAGCAGGAAGAGCCTAGCACAGAAATTCAATTTGGACATGCATACCATTTACTTTAAGCAGAATGAAATTAGATTAGCAGGACCTTTAAAAAAACAAAAACAAATTAATTACTTGCTCTTACAGCATCATAAGCCCCCAACGATATTAGACTGCAAAAAGTCTTACACTGAAATACCTTTATTCATTTTAATTTCTTCTTTTATCGCCCAGGATGACAATTGAGCATGTTACTTGCTTCTCCCAGAAACAAAATATAATGCCAAACTGAACATGTCAGCATATTTGCAAGCAATGCTCATATTAAAATTTTGTATTAAAGCTAATGTTAAAATTATACAATACACAGGTTAAGGAAACAGTGTCTGTACATCTGGGTGTAGTGCTTAGATTAGTACAAAATCTAGTTTAAAAGTCATAAAATATATAATCTTATATAGTCATAAGTATATAATCTGCAGTAACCCAAATTTAGGTGAATAAATTTAACGATAGAGTTTAGCTATTATGCTCCAAATATTCAGGTACATCACTCATGAAAAATTATATAGAGTTGGTTGTAGAAAGCAAATATAGGAATCAGTGTTGATTGTCCCTCAGTAATTGAGCATTTAGGATAGGTTGTCCTTTAGTAGATATAATCCATCAGAGAAGTATTTCAGTTACTTTCTGATTTCACCTCTCATGACCCATAGAATCATAGGACTGGAGGGGACCTCGAGAGGTCATCTAGTCCAGTCTCCCACACTTTTTTTTTTAAAAGTTGAAGTTTCATTTATTAGGCAGACCATACGAAGAGATTCACTTAGATTTCTGACTCTGTGCTTGTGCCTTCAACACTTTCACAACAATCTTCCGCTCCTCAATAAGGAAAGCTTGTTTGATTCTGTCACAGACACATTTAGCACACATAGCAGAGCCTATGGCGGTTCCAATATGCTTCTGTGTTTTTGACAGCCTCATAAGGACTTAAGGGCGCACAGCACAAACACCGCAAAGTCTTCCTGGACACATACCACATGCAGACGTTGGCGCCTTGCCAATTTTCTTAGTGTAAAGGTAAACAATCCTGTTACTTGGTGTCCGGGACAGCTGGTCTTCTTAGAGGCTGTGTTGTAGGACAACCTAAAATGGTATGTCAGATGCTGAACAATTTTTTATATCGGGTGCCAGGACTAAGTATTATTCTAGCCCATTCCTGAGAGATGTTTGTCTAACCTGCTCTTAAAAATCTCCAACGATGGAGATTCCACAACCTCCCTGGGCAATTTATTCCAGTGCTTAACCACCCTGATAATTAGGAAGTTTTTCCTATTGTCCAACCTAAACCTCCCTTGCTTCAGTTTAAGACCACTGCTTCTTCTCCTATCCTCAGAGGTTAAGAAGAAAAATTCTTCTCTCTCCTCCTTGTAGGAACCTTTTATGTACTTGAAAACTGTTATGTCCCCTCTGTCTTCTCTTTTCCAGACTAAACAAACCCAGTTTCTTCAATCTTCCCTCACAGGTGATGTTTTCTAGACCTTTAATCATTTTTGTTGCTCTTTGTGGACTTTCTCCAATTTGTCCACATTTTTCCTGAAATGTGGCGCCCAGAACTGGACACAATACTCAAGTTGAGGCCTAATCAGCATGGAGTAGAGTGGAAGAATTACTTCTTTTGTCTTGCTTACAAAAATCCTGCTAATGCATCCGAGAACGATGTTTGCTTTTTTTTTTTTTTTTGGCGCAAGAGTGTTACACTGCTGACTCATATTTAGCTTGTGGACCACTATGACCCCCAGATCCCTTTCTGCAGTACTCCTTCCTAGGCAATCATTTCCCATTTTGTATGTGTGCAACTGATTGTTACTTCCTAAATGGAGTGCTTTGCTTATTGTGCTTATTGAATTTCATCCTATTTACTTCAGACCATTTCTCCAATTTGTCCAGATCATTTTGAATTTTAATCCTAACTCCTCTCATCTTGGTAGCGTCTGCAAACTTTGTAAGTATACTCTCTATGCCATTATCTAAATCACTGATGAAGGCATTGAATAGAACCAGACCCAGATCTGATCCCTGCGGGACCCCACTTGTTATGCCCTTCCAGCATGACTGTGACCCACGGATAACTACTTTCTGGGAACTGTTTTCCAACCAGTTTTGCACCCACCTTATAGTAGCTCCATCTAGGTTGCATTTCCCTAGTTTGAGAAGGTCATGCGAGACAGTATCAAAAGCTTTACTAAAGTCAAGATAGAAATATGAAAGCATATCCCAAAAAGCCTAGCCTCCCAAACAAGACTTGAGGATGAACTGAAATGCCTTAAAACTAATGTAAGTCTATTGCAAGTAGAAGCCAGGCAAGAATAAGCAAATCAACAGTTAACTGTCAAACAATTTAAAATTTTTCTTTATTTTTCTTTATAAAAATAGGACACTGTCTGATACAGGCCTAAAAATAAATTGGTTAGAGTTTTATAGGATCTAATATGAAATAGAAACATTTTTCAGTAAGTTAAAAAAAATTATTTTTATTTAAACATTCTCTTGTAGTGCTGTACCATTCTGCCAGTGGATTACAAAAGAGTGAAACTGACTAGTCATTTCCATTGTTCAAAATTAGTACTATGTAAACAGTAAATAGCAAGGACAAGTTAGTTAGAAATAAAATGGTAATAATCCAATTTGATTATTTTTGCTATGTAATTTTTAATGCTGTTGCAATACAATTCATCCCCAGGGCAATACACCAGTAAGAGATGATCAACTTGTGGAGCAGTAGCTCACAAAACTCCTTACAGATTTGAGTCACACTACACTAGAAATCCTTCTGATTAAGGTCTCAAACTGGTAAACTGCAGCAAAGGGAAAGAAAACTACTGAATCAGTATCACACATTTGAGAGTATTAATCACCCAAAGGCAAAATTGTATTTGTACAGTTAATAAATTGTTTAAAAGTTACTAATATCTTAAGTGTAAATAATTATATATTCTTCACAAAAACCTTCTGCATAAGACAACTCTATAATACTAATCAATATTTCCAAATGTTCAGATTATATTCCAGATAAAGACTAGAAAGGCAAAGGCTATATTGCACTAGAACACTGGCTCAAAATTAAGCACCATTTAGAAGTGAGTTTATTTTAAACTCAGGAAGCTAGCTCATCTTTTTCATAACTGAATGCATCTGGGCCACAAACTTCCTGAATTAACTTTGCAAAGGTTCAACATCCAGTCAACGTTTTAACTCAGAAAGTCAAGAGATGACTACTCTAACTATCAAGAGCTGGAGAGTGGACAGAAGCAACAGAGAACATTAAAAACATTATATTTAGTGAGGAAGTCCTTGTTGTGGAACACATCACACAAAGTGACCAGTCTTAAGACAAGTGGAAGCAGTGTGGAAAAGGGCTGTGACCTTCTGAACTCTGTGCAACTAGATAAGAGGTAAGTCAGGATAAGCACACTGAACATGCCATGTGCCATGCAAGGAGAGGGCAAAGCAGACTTTTAATGGGATTCTTGAATGATGATGAATTATGAGGTTAGAAGCAATTACTGAATAATAAATCAGACTTCCATTAAGAAAGGTGAACCAGGTTCTTGTGAAAACAACAAGGAGTCCTTGTGGCACCTTACAGACTAACAACTTTATTTGGGTGTAAGCTTTCGTGGGCTAGAACCCACTTCATCAGATGCATGGAGTATCAGAATCCCTTTTCCTACCACCTAAGCTGCACTGTGTTACTAACTTTTTCATACCGAGTGACTTGGACCTCATCAGACAAACAGAATCCCATTTTGTAAGTGGATGCACAGTGCAAAAAAAAAAAAAAAAAAGTTCTGGGTTATTTTTAAAAGCTCTGTTCTCCGACCTCACTCTGTGTCCCCCAGCTCTCCTCCGGTCTCCTCAGAGGCACTTTTCTCAGCTTCCGGAGCACAACACTCCAGATAAATAGCAAAGTAGCAGCATGCCCCTTCCCAAAACAACCTTGTAAATCCTAAAGTGCTGCAGTTATAAACGCATCTGTCCTGAAGGGCGTTTTATTAAATAATGGAGGCGAGTGGGGATTGCAAAGGTGAGTCTCTCTCTTCCCCTGCCAACCCCTGATGGACATGTGCAGGGTGCTGCAGAGGTTTGGGATGAGGAAAGCAGCACTGCGCGGGCTTCTCCCTTACAGGGGGGCTGAACGGGGCAGGCTCAGTTAATGGGTGGAAGGGGGCAGGCTCGGTGCCCCTTGCCCAGCCGAGGTCTCACCTGCTGGTCGCACTCCGGGCAGGACTTGGTGGCCATCTTCACTTTCTTGGCCCTATTCGAGGACATGCTCTTTGCTGCTGCTGCGGCTGGGTGGGAAAGTGGCCGCCCCACCCCCAAGGGACGCGATGGAAAGCGGGGCTGGCCGGCACGGCGCGCGCCACACACCTCACGCGGCCGCCCGGGCAAGTGCACTCTCGCCCGCGCGACCTTAGGACCCGGCTCGCGCCCGAGCCCGCGCCCACTGCCGCGAACTCTCGGGCCCAAGCGCTCCCGCGTTACTCTCCTCCCTGCCGTCACAAGCCACGCCCCCGACGACCGCAGCTGCAGGGCGGGATTTATCGAGACCCCGCCCCGTCAAGGGATTGGCCCGGGCCCGGACGGCAGTCTCAGGCAAGCGGGCTAATGGGGAGTGGGTACGGCGGCGCGCGACTCTTCTTGCTCTGAGGGAAGGCGAAGCCGCGGGCGGGGGGCGCGGAACCGGCCGTGGGTTCAGATACAGATTCCGCGCAGGGCGCTGCAGCGTGGCCGCTCCGGTGCTGGGGAGAAGGGCGGCCGTCCAGTTCTCTCAGCGCCCGCGGCTCCCGGCCGTTGCCCCCGGCTCAGCCAGCGGGAGAGGACGGAGCGCTGGGGCTGCGGGTGTAGGCAAAGAGGAGAAATTCAGTGCTGACAAATAGTAGGGCCTGTAACCAGGGAGAACAAAGAAATCGCGTACTTGCAACACCCATTGCGCTAACGCGAGTTTAATCTTGTCTCACGAGTACCGTTGCAAAATTCCTTTTGTGTGGAGCCCGGCCAGCTCCTGTCGTTGCTTCAGGGAAGGTGTTGGGAGTCGGAAAGTGGGTCTCCAGGAAGATGGTTTTCTGAAGTGGTTGAAACTAGAAGAAAAACATTTTGAAAATCACTGCGCTGTTCGTTTTTATAACGCTCTCAGCGCTAAGGGTTATCTCCCCCGATCCTTCAATTTCGATCTTACACAAGTAACACGTCATTCAAGGATGGTCACTTTAGGCATCTTCCTTTCCCAGTTGACTGTCCGTCCCATAACTATTAGCAGCAATCATAATATGAGGGAAATTAAAAGACAAGTTTACTCTTATTTCCAGTATTAAAGTATAGGCTAAGTATGAATAAGAAGAATAGGGGTAGTAAAACAGGAGTGGAATTCAATACACATCTCACTGAATTAAAATCTTTTATATACAACAAAAACATTTTTTAAGATTTTAAAACAGACTATACAAGTCCTTTGTACCAAGAAATCCAGAACAAGAAAACTCTGGGGGTGAGAAGTGAATTTTTATGTTGCTCTATTCTGTTTTACTTTGATGTTTCTTTCTTTATTTTTGGGTGCCTAGTGCTTCAGCCTGGGTTATGCATATACATGCCATTATACACTTGCAAATTCAAAATCGTTTCTTTTAATCCATTTAAATCTTTTTTCTAAATATTGTGCCCGGTATCTGTAGCAAAAAATCAGTAAAATTGTCCGGTAGATTGTTTTTATATATTAGTATTTTTGAGGGGGAAAGTATAGAGAATAAGTGTTTATACCATAATATAAATTTATTGCTGACCAAATTTCTTTTTGAATAAGCTTTCTAAAACAATTTGAGAACATAATTTAAATGTTTTTTTCACATTTGAAAACTAGGTCAAGAAATAGCTCTTAGTCTGAAACTGTTGAATTGTAAAGGGCATTTTTTCCCCTAAAAAAAGTGTTTATAGATGAGCTCAATCTCTGGAGAGAAAAAAGAGGGTGATAGTGACAGTGCTGACAACCTTAACCATAGCCTTGGATGACTTTTCTATATATTGTAAAGGGTGTAATGAGGAAAGAGGAGGGAAAGTCTCCATGGAAAATTCACGTTGAACATTATTGTTTAAGTTCTACTGAAGTAGAACTGCCAACAGTATTATCGAGCTGTACTGGGACTGCAATGCTTCCACATGGGTGGCAATCCATGTATTGTAAGGCTGGCTCTGCACACAATGCAACACAGGAAATTTGGAGTTACATCTCTATTTTGGACTTTAATTCACTTTGCGTTGTCTAGATATTGAAGAAAATCTTAGGATAAAGGTGCTCTTACTAAGAATCTTATCTGTGTTTTCCTTCAGGCAGAGAAACATAGGGACACACTGGAGGATACATTTTTAAAAGCTGATCTTTTTTTGTTATTGCTAGTTTATTGCTCAGTTAAAGTAATACATTGATAAGATGGCTTGATGCAGTCATTTAGTTCCTGGTGGAAAGGAATCAATACAGGGAGTGAGGTATTTAATTATTTACCAGGCAGTGCAGCTTGTTTTTTCCACTGGTCAGATTAAAAAGACACTGTTCTTTCTTCAGACCAATCCAAACAGAAAAGGATTAGAGCTTCTGTTAACTCCTCATAGGATAGATCTTCCTACAGTTCACAGGCCTACCATCCTATCTCCTTGCTGCCATTTATGCACAGACTAGTGCAGGGAGTCGGGTGCCTGGTGCAGTTAAGCTAGTACACCATCCTATAAGGATCCCTGTTGATTCACTAAACCTAATTGTTGAATTGCTGGCAACGGTTTCAGAGTTTCTTTCTTGGGGGAACGGGAGTAGGAAGAAAAAACAAAGAAACACCTACCCTGGACTGTTAACCACAACTTCCAGACAAAAAAGAACCAACCGTAATGGTCTTCTGCTGGAAGCTCATAGATCCAGTCAAGTTCTAAAAAACCCTTTGTAGGTACTTCCATCTGCTTTGTATCTTCCTTTGCCCATGTTGTCTTTTTGGAAAGCAGATGGGCATTGCGCAGGCCAGGCGCAATGCTAAAATGGAGAGAGCAGGTATAACGGAGGGCAGGTATTCTGCTGAAGAGAGCTGTGTTCTGAGCTCAAAACTGTGAGTCTCCTGAGTTCTGATCCCAGCAATGACACTTATGCCCTTTGTGGCCTTGGGCAAGTTACTGAAAACTCCTTGCCTCAGTTTACCTATCTGTAATGGTGATGATACTCAGAGTGTTGTGAATATTAATGAATTAATGTTTATAAGGTATTTTAAATGTGAAAAGAGTTAAGAATTATTCTAATAAAAAGGGAAGGATAACCCTTGTAGGTGGAGGCAGGGAAACTAATTAAAATTGGAACATATACTCTCAAGTAATTAAAAGAACATACAGACTGTAGGTCAGCAACATATTCTTTATTGTGCATTTCTGCTAAGTACAGACTTAAAATGGCTGTGCTTACTTTTTAAGGCAGACTGTGAAAATTTACTATATGTCCTATGAAGAGCTACGCTGAATACAAGACGTATAATACTCACTCTCATAAGCAGTTTACTACTGGGTGACCTTCTGCTGTTTATTCTAAGGGAGTCCACATACTGACTAGTTAGTACAAAGAAGATATAAAATGAAATGCAAACTATGGCTCAGGAAATAGATGGCTATCCCCACCCTTAGCAGTTATTTGAAACACAGGCCCAGATAGTCTCCTCCTGTAACAAAGTCCACAGGAGGATTTTGGAAAATATCTGCGGGGACCCCCTTGGGGAGATTCTCTCTCCTCCCACTCACACATATACTGTTGGGGGAAGAAATTGCCCGCCCTTGGGGAGGGAAAGCTGCTGTCCTGCCCCCAAACACAGTGGGTCCATGTCCACTTTTGTCCCAGCATGCCAGTCCCTGCTTCTTGAATGCATGACTCCAGTGGAGCCACACTGCCAGAGACTGAGCACAAATGTCCTGCCTGAGGGCTCTTAAAAAAAGATAATATAGCCCCCAGGTGGCCATATGGGACTGGAAACGGGGGATGACTTCTATGACTGGACTTGTTACTAGCCTGCCCAGCACCTCACCTCATCCCACCCCACCCCACCCCTTCGCTCTCCAGCCCTTCCCTCAATACAGTCCCGAAATCATGGAGAGCCTTTTATATTATCTAGAGAAGAGGGGCACATGGTGCCATGGAGGCAATTGAACCCCTCTCCCACACAGGGGAAGGGAGAGAGTTCCATACAGCCGGTAATTTCTTTTTATGTATCTTCAGTGTTTACAAGGGATCTATCATAATCTGCAAGCAGTCTACAATAATGAAGTCAATGTCAAACTGAATTTGTGAGTGGTAGGGTAAGTGACATAATACTGACAAACTGATGAATCTATTCATATTTTGTAAGATGTATGGTATAAGGTAAAATAACATAAGAACATTATAAAACCCTAAATGTTAACGTACCCAGGACCGGAATTGACTGATCTCTAGGATTAAAACACAGATTAGAGTGTGCCATAGCTATTCTAGGTCATAGTGAAGTTTTGAATCTACATTTAAAAACAGAATAGACAAAGTTTTTATGCTGATGCTGAAAATCTAGGTGATAAGCTCTTACATTATACCCAAAATACCCAGTTCAGATCCAGACAGGTTGTCAGGTCAATTGAAATCTCCGCATTGTTGCTGTCATTCCTTTAGGGATTAGTAACACTCATTTCACGGCCCACTTTGTCCATGTTTGCTGGTGTTAACAGAGACCCCTATCAGAGGTTTTCTATTCTTTCCTATTGCTTCTAGTTTTACTCAGTCTTTCCTCCTCATTCACTACCCATTTCTTATCCTTGCCTGTTAGTTGTTTTGGAGAGATGCCATGGCTTCTCCACCTCTTCCCTTTCTCGCATTGCTGAATAAATTTACCTATCCATATTAACTATCAAGTCATGGTTTTGATTATTCCCACGTTTCAGGTCTATTAGATTATACTCTTCCATGTTTGCTAACATCTGTCTGCTGTGCTTCATGTACTGATATAAAGTTACTGAATTGCCTACCCATTCCTTGTTATTCCCTTCCTTGAGAGTACACTGAAGCACAGATTTTCAAAGGTATTTAGGCAGCTAGAAGTTAGGTGCCTAAATGTCTTTGAGGATCTGGGTCCAGGTCTCTGAGATTGACTGTTCTCACAATGCATTCAGATTCAGCCTGTAGCACGTTATTACTAGCGTAGGCCTTTCTCCATACCTGCATAAAAGGAAAAGCATGTTTATCTTTGCTATAAACTGGGATTGTAACCAAAGGCACAAATCCATGCTATGCAGACAAGAAATTTCAGAGTTTTGTTTCTGTATCAAGATTAGGTTCAATGAGCCAGGAGTCTTATGCTGCTTCTGTTACAAGAGAGATGATTATTTATTTCTTTATTTACATGAATAGAGAATACATAGCGGAAACTGTTTTGTCACACAAGATTTCAGAGTCTTTAACAAAAACAGTAGTGTCCTGCTTTGCATGAAACATTATCTACTGGAGAATGAAAGTAATACATAAATCAATATAAATCTATTGAAATATCATTTATATCAAAACAAAGCATTAATGAATGATATACAGGATGCTGATAACGTTCAGTTTACAGTTCAAAAATATCAATTCAACTATACTGTTACAAACGAAACAAAAAAACGGTTCCCTTACTCCATGTAAAGCTGCTGGTATTCATTCTTTAGGCAATTAATTATTCATTACTGAGACCTTCTGAATAATGCATGTGGTTTTCAAATGCTTTCATTACTTTCTGGCTTTCTTCCCTTTTTATGATTGTGTTCCTTAATATATTCAACTGTTTCACATTCAAATGGAGTTACATTTGTTTAATACATGGTCTAGTAGATTCTGTCTACGGAGAAAACAAATCTAAGCTCTGAAAGTCAAATACTAGCACCATTTCAGACAGCAGCCCTGGGCCCAGTCCAGCATCCAGAAAGACACTATGCGTAACTGAACCCTTTGGCTTCAACAGGAATTAATGGTACTCAGCATATCAGTGGAAATGCTGAGCACCTTGATGAACTGAGACCCATATGAAATGTGCCTCACAAGAACTTGAAATAGCAAGCAAAAAAGTGATGACACTATTTCCATCTCATTTTAGATCTCTTATGAAAAGTCTTTTCTTGTCCTTGTCTGTTCTTCTTTGTGTCTCTCTTTTATTATGTCATGTAATCTGAACACTGAAGTGTTTTGGGATTTAGAGTTTTTCCTTCCTTTGATTTATTGGAATGCTTTTATATAGAAATTTACGAAAAGAAGCCTCTGTTACACTACAGAATCTCCAAGTGTAAAAGTACTAAGAACAACACAAATCTAATAATTATAATATTAAATTATCTAATCTACAGATTAGTAAAAAGAACCACTGTATAAGTTTAAATAAAAAATGCCTCTTTTCCCTTCCCATCCCACCTCAGCTTCATCGCTCCAGATGAAAGAATTATTTATTATGTGCAAGACACTCCAACTGGAAACTGGCAGTTTCTCCCTCTCTCTGTGTGTTATCCCTGCCTGAGGGGAAATGATGAAGGCCTTACATTTCTAGGGTAACTTTCATAAAATATATTTCAAAAATACTCTGAAACCTTTCATAAAATATGTATACAATAAGTTCAGTTTCACTTCCTCTCAGCAGCTTTAGTCAATCTAAAAGAATTCTGTTCTTTAATACTGGTTTTCTATAGTCCAGAGAGGGGCCTGTGGACCCATGGGATGAAAGAGTTTTAGGTCACATCTACACTACAAATTTTGGTCAACATGAGTTAGGTTGGTGTACAGCCGCTGAAGTATATATATCACTCAGCTGTGTGCATACTCAGCTGCTTGTGTTGACAGTGTGCACTACGAGAGTTTGTTGATGGACATAGTGAAAAAAACCTCCAGGTTGCTGGTAGTATTCACAGAGCAGCTGCAGAAGGTGGAGCAGTGCTTCTGGGCCCAGGAATCAAGCACTGACTGGTGAGATCACATCATAATTCAAGTTTGGGATGAAGAGCAATGGCTGCAGAACTTTTGAATGAAAAGGTCACATGCATGGATCTGTGTGCTGAGTTTGCCCCAGCCCTCCCTCACAGCAACACCAGAATTCACAGAGGAGAAGCAAGTGGTGGTCATGCTCTATACGCTTCCAGTGCCAGATTGCTATCGGTCGGTGGGAAATTATTTTGGAGTTGGAAAATCCACAGTGGGGGCCTGTGATTGGGTGTCCATCCTACACAAGGCTTGCATAGGTAAAAGGAGCAAATAACCCTTTGACAGGCTGCACTGGGAGAAGAGTCAGGGCTGATAAGTTCTAATTGATGATGAACCCTAGCTGCACAGGGGCAAGCTGAGCTAGTATAAGACCAGGAATTAGAGGACAAGAACTCCGCAGTCATCCCTGAGAGAGGAGGAGGAGGAAGAAGTCTAGGGGGCAGGGGCATGGGCCCTACCAATAATTGGCAGGGGTACAGAGCTCCACCAGGGTTGGGGTGGGGAGAGCGAGTTCCTTCAGCCCTGGGACTGCAGTGAGGGTACAGAATGTTCCCCTCCAAAAGTGGTCACATTTTTATTCCTGCACAAACCCCTGCTAGGGGGAAAGTAAGCCCTGGGATCCTGTGTTGGACAGTTGGACTATACACTCTGGCAAGAGTCTGAGGTGCGTGAAACAGCCACAGGGAGCAAATATAGCTTTGATGGTAACCTAGAGGCGGACTGGAGCTAGTGAAGAAAGGGAGAAAGCAGCCCAGAGAAACAGCAACGGGGTCTGGGATTGCATAGACTGTGGCTGGTAGTCACAGCCTGTTCCCTAGGCTGGAACCTGGCATAGAGGGTGGTCCAGGATTCCCTTACCAAGCCACTGGAGAAGAGGAATAGTCTGGGCAGTGGAACGGAAGACAGCCTGAGACAGATCATCCAGTGGGACTTTGATACCCTGGAAGGGGAAGTCTACCAGAGGGCCAAGCCACAAAGAGAGAGCAATTGAATTCAGAGAGAGACAGGGTGAGCAACCAAAGGAGGAGGCATAGACTGGTCCAGAGCTAATCCCCAGATGTGGCCACAGAGAGGTGCCACAGTGGTGAGTAGTAAACCCTTTGACAGGGCCCTCCCTTGTCGTGAAAATGTGTAAGGCTATTAATGGTCTGCTAAGCAAGACTGAGTTTCAGTAGTGTGCAAGAAATACCAGTGGATTTGCACCAATGGGGTTCCCAAGTTGTGATGGGGCAATAAACAAAACACATATCCCTATTTTGGCACCAGCCCAAATTGCTACATCAACAAAAAAGATACTTTTCCATGGTTATGCATGTGCTAGTGGATCACTGGGGTTGCTTCAAAAGGTGCATGATGCTTGCACCTTTAAGAACAGAGGGGCCGTTCAGAAAGCTGCAAGCAGGGACATTAATTCCCAAACAGTAGATTACCAATAACGATGCAGAAATGCCAAATAGTGATTCACAGCCTACCTCTTGCTCCCCTAGGTCATGAAGCCATAGATTGGCTATCTGGACAGTGCCAAGGAACGATTCAACTTCCAGCTCAGTAGGTGCAGAATGACTGTGGAATGTGCTTCTGGTCGACTGAAGGGACACTGGTGGTATTTACTCACTAGCTTAGATCTCAGTGAGAAAAACATCCCAATGGTTATAGCTGGATGTTGTGTACTGCGTAATATATGTGAGGTAAAGAGCAAAAAGCTGCTGTTGGGGTGGAGGTACAAGGTGAAGTGGCTGTCCGCTAAATATGAGCAGTCAGACACCTGGGCTAGTAGAAGAACCCAACATAGAGCTATGTGTTTGAAGCAGGCTTTAAAGGTTCATTTGCATTGTCTGCCACAGTAGCATTCTCTCTTGCTGGCTTGAGATAGTCTGTCTTGGATAATTTAAATAATGTATTTTGGGGGGGTTTTGCCTGCTGGTGTCTGTTGTGTTGTGCCTTCTGCAAATGATAAATACTGCTGGACCTGGGGCTTTGCTTGCTGCTATGAATTGTGTGGACCTTGCTGTAAATTTATAAATATGGCTGGGTGTTTTCCTGACACTGAATACTGTGGTGCATGGTGTGTGTTTATAGATACCGGGGTGATGGGGTGGGGGATTGTTTTATGACTACTGCTGTGCATTCTGTAATATCTGTTGTGACCTAATAAAGATACTTTGATTTTCCAAAAATACCGCTTTGAGGGCAAAAATTTGGTATAAAAAATCAAAGTGCAAACACATACAATGTTATACAAACTTCTAACATAACAGGATGAAACTTTTGAAATCCCTATTGAAAAAAGAAGTAAACATTTATGTCCATTTGTGTTAACAAAAAGGTGATTTAGTATAGTCCATTGTGGCTACACATACACCAATCTGGTTTTCACAGGTCAGCTAATGTGACACTTTGGTTTTCCTTGTCCACTGGCATGGAGTGGTAGGGTAAAGATTCATTCCATAATACCACGTGGTATGGCAAGGGCTGTAGGGAGCAGCGACCATGGAGTTCTCCAAGTAGTGCAAAGGACAAGCTTTGGACATGTTTTGGACAAAAGTTTTAAGATTCTACTGTATGACATTGCTGAGACATGCTCCAAGTTTAGAAAAGCAAGCACAGACCAGTTCCTCAGAGATAAAAGGCAAACTGACATGTCAGCCAGGTGTCAACAAAGTCAAATGGATTATCACCTCGTTAAACAGCTATTCTTTGGCAGGAAGAAAGGTGTGAGTAAGAAATGTTTCAGAGGAACAGCCGTGTTAGTCTGTATTCGCAAAAAGAAAAGGAGTACTTGTGGCACCTTAGAGACTAACCAATTTATTTGAGCATGAGCTTTCGTGAGCTACAGCTCACTTCATCAGATGTTTACCGTGGAAACTGCAGCAGACTTTATATACACACAGAGAATATGAAACAATACCTCCTCCCACCCCACTGTCCTGCTGGTAATAGGTGGGGTGGGAGAGGTATTGTTTCATATTCTCTGTGTGTATATAAAGTCTGCTGCAGTTTCCACGGTAAACATCTGATGAAGTGAGCTGTAGCTCACGAAAGCTCATGCTCAAATAAATTGGTTAGTCTCTAAGGTGCCACAAGTACTCCTTTTCTTTTTGAGTAAGAAATGTACATCTTGTCAGACAGGTTTGCTGTCACCTGAACCCCAGCTGGAGATGATTCTCAACAAGGAGGAAAAGATATAAAAATGAAGAACAGAGACCCTAAATTTCCTCTCTTCCCTCATTTCTACTCACAGCATCAACAACGTTTGAAAGACTAAAGAAGGCTCATTGAACTGGGGTATTGGTCCTGGCTGAAAGAATCTAGCCAGACTGCTGTAAGCATATGGTGAGAGAAACCTTTTGCTTTAAATTCACTTAGCTTGTTAAGCGAGATATTAGTTTGTGTTTTACCTTTTCTTTCTTTGTAACCAATTCTGACATTTATGCCTCATTACTTCTAATCTCTTATAATCTATCTTTCCATAAAATACCAGGTTTACAATGGTGCCAGTGACACCATGGCACCTGGCCCGCTCCACTTGAGGCCCCAGGCCCCACCAGTTTTTCTCTTCCCCCAGTCCCTGCCCCCTGCCCACTGGCTGCCCCTATTGGCTCACTGGCTGGCTGAGGGCTCCTTTCCATCCCCTGGCTGGATCCCAGTGCAGCTCCAGCTCCTGGTGGTTTCCGCTGCCTGCCACTTGGGGGGGAGGGGGGCCACCTGCCTCTGACCTCAGAGCCAGGCTGCCTGGGACCAGTGGAGAAGCTGGGCCAGTCTCAGCCAGTGCTAGGGGTGTGGGGGCTTGGCTTGGCCCCTCCAGGTAGGGTAGAGTGACCATACTTCCTTACGGGATGGCCAGGGGCTCACCTGAGCCCCCCTTACCCTCCTGCCCACAGGGCTCGCCAGAGCCACTGCACCTAGGGCTGACTCCCTGCAGCTCCATGCCCTGTGCTGCCTGCAGCTGGGGCTGAGAGTCGGAACTCCGAGCCAGGCACTGGGGCTGACCCATCCTGCTCCCAAGCTCTGCGAACTGCTGTCGGGGCTGGAGCTGACCCCTCCTCCCCAAGCTCTGTGTGCTGCAGCCAGGGGCTGTGGCTGACACTACCCCTCCCCAGCCGAGTTCTGTGTGCTGCAGCCAGGGGCTGACTCCCCCAGCTCTGTGCTGCCCATAGCAAGAAAACTGCAAGAAAACCAAATTCTCTCTCTTACCACTATCGTGAGGACATGGAATATGGGAATTAATGTAGAACTGCCCTTTGCTAAACACCACTTGCTCCCCTATGTGCTCTACCATGGAAACTTGTGTTCATATGATTTGCACAGAGTACACAGATTGCTGGTTGGTCATGACAGTTGATCACATATTGACCAGTTTGCAAAAAGCAACCACCATTGACATCTATACATCATGAGCTTGTAATGAATGTATGCCATGGGTAGTTTGGTTCTGTACGACAAAAGTTTTGTATGGAGGACCAGCTACATAAGGATATTTTGCCGTCCTGTAGGGGATCACAAAACATTTTACAAATATTCATTAACTGAACATCACAAAAATCTTTGTTGGGGAGATGACGGTTATCCTCACCTTACAGGTGCATACACTGAGTTTGAGTGACTTGCCCAAGATCGCAAAGCAAGTCAGTGTTTACTTTTGGGGTGAAAACCTGACTCAACTAATGTCAATGGAGTTTTGTCATTAACATCAACAAGGCCAGGATTTCAACCCAGGACTCCAACTCCACCATATTGTCTGATAGGCACCCCTAGTTCCCCTCAGATAAAATATTTATATTTAAAAGTACATTAAGAGGGATGTACTATAGGTAGATGAAGGTATATTTATAATTATGATTATAAAACCAGCACTTATTTACCTATACTATTAAAAAAAAATTACACCTAAAAGAAATTTAAGATCTTTTCATTATTCCTTCTATTTTTTTATCGTTTACTTTTTGCATTTTTCAGCTTGGAGAATAAAATGAAGCGATTCATTTTCATGTCATGTACATTTAATTACAAGTCATTTGCACTTTCATGTTAACAAGTCCTATTCCAATGCTATAGTGCATGTGTTACAAACACAGAGGATAGTATTTATTCTTAAAAACATCTACTGGAATTTTAAACAATTGAAACATTTCTATTTGTTTGATAAAAGCTTATTTTAAATCACTTATTATTGTGCAACAAATTTGTGTCCCTCTAATTCAATTTGAAACCTTTTATTTCAGAATGTTATATTGATCCAGCAATAAACTATTAATACTTTGATCTATTTCATTAGTAGTCAAAAGCAGGCTTCAATAAATGTTCATTTTTGGATATGTTTCAGAGGAACAGCCGTGTTAGTCTGTATTCGCAAAAAGAAAAGGAGTACTTGTGGCACCTTAGAGACTAACCAATTTATTTGAGCATGAGCTTTCGTGAGCCACAGCTCACTTCATCAGATGTGATCATCTGATTCATGTGATTCATCATCTGATGAAGTGAGCTGTGGCTCACGAAAGCTCATGCTCAAATAAATTGGTTAGTCTCTAAGGTGCCACAAGTACTCCTTTTCTTTTTATTTTTGGATATGTTAGTGAGGTATTGCTTTAAAGGAATGTTGTCAAAGTCAACAGGCCCCAAATGTGATCTCTCCCCTTTCAAACGATAAAAAAGTAGCATTACCGTAGTCTTAAAATCCATTTTCCACTATGGAAGAGGTCATCAGCCTGTACAAGACAGGCTACAAATATCTTAAAACATGAATGTTTGTTTGAACTGCAACCAAACAAATCCTTCTTCCCAGGAACCTGAATTCCTAACACATGGTGCTCCCCAGTGTCTCTTGTTGTTGATTTTAGTTTTTGTGGGGGGAAGGGAGAACTGTGTTGTTAACCCTAACAGCATAGAAAGTGTAGTATACAACAACAAACAGATTACAACATAGTTACAAAAGAACATAGCTAAAGAAGGTTGCGGGAGGGAGTTTATTGTAGGGACCTAATAAGCATCTCAAGGAAGAGAGTAAAAATACCAGGAGAGTCTTTGCAGCACATAAAGAAGGAACCCAAAAGAAATTTAGAGCTTACAACATTATACTGCACAGAACAGAAGACTAAATAGCCTGGTGATGTGGTCAAAGAGAGAATGAACCAACAAGGATCTCTATCCTATGGGACAGGGAGAGCAAGTGCAGCTAAAACAGAAAACCTCCTGTCTTCCCCAACAGCTTTCCTTCTATGCATCAGCTTGGAAAGAAGAACACAATCCCTACCTCCGAGCCAGGACAAATGAGAAAGGGCCTCCTCCCACATAATAGCCTGGAGAGGAACCATAGAGACCACATGCACCTGTCCACCTCCCCCTAGAAACCTCTCTTTCCTGCTCTTGCTCCCAGTCCCCCTGAAGTAAGTGGCCAAACTCCAGCTGATTTTAATGAAAATACGAATGAACCACCAAGAGAAGAAAAGAGCCTTGCCCTTCCCATCAGCTAGTAAGAATAAGCAGAAAGAGAGGAAAACCTTTCATTTTCTGAAGGGGGAGCTAGTCTAGGAGAACATGCTGGAATGGGAAAATGAGTGCCAGAAATTGCTACTGTTTCCTTGAGCACTTATTGTAATTTAACGTCCGTCCAACCTATGAGCTGGCTAATCATCATCAGCACGCGACAGATGCGGTAATATATAGATGAAACAAGAAATAAACTAGAAAGTCAAGTTAAAATTTAAACTCCAAGGAGATAGGAAGCAAGGGCTGGAGAGAGGGGATCGGTTTTTGCCAAATGGACAGGGACAAACATCAGCAGAGAAAAGAGATCATAATGTTTCTAATACGTTAAAACAACAGCATACAAAAAAATGAAACTGAAACAAAAGGAGTATGATCTAATACTTTAAGTGGGGTTTTGGAAGCCAGACTTGCTTTGTAATCCTAGGGAAAGCATTTTAACCTCTCTATATCTCAGTTTTCATATCCGTGAACTGGGAATAACACTATTACTTACCCCAAATGTCTGTGTAGTTTAACGAACATCTGTAAGGGGCTTTGAGACTTTCAGATGACAAATGCAAAGTAATCGTGTTTCTAAAATGTAAGTGTCCTTTTAA